AAAAAAAAAAAAAAAAAAACAAGATAAAATTTTTGTTCGCAATAAATGAATAAAATCTTACCAAAAGAAAAGAATTAATTCTTTTTTATTGAAAATTAATGGTAAGTTGATGACAATTGAAACTGTGTACTTTAAATCAACTGGGTAATAATTGCCGATGTATCAGTCAAAGTTTCTGTTTTGACATTGTCATCTGTAGACTGCAATTTTTGCTTTTTTTTGATTAATTAATATAAGGTTAAAAAAAAAGAAAAAGAAGTAACGGAAAAAAAAATTATTAAATTTTTTTTCAGATATCTATCTTCTTTTTGACCTTTCATTTTAGTCTATAAAAAACCAAGTAATTTCTTCATGTCTTTTTTTTTTTAATTCTGTATTTCTCATACAGTCAGTAAAAAATTGAACATTTCTTTTCCTATTCAGATTACAAAAAAAAAAAAACCATATAATACTGATTGTGGTGATGTATTTGATCAATTCATATGATAATAGTAAAATATGTTATATGTTGGTCGTATGCAAAATAGAAAAGTAAACCTTCTAAAACTTTTTGGTTGCTTCATTTCGCTTTGTTCATTTGGTTTTTTTTTTTTTTTTGTCAATATTTTTTAGTTAAAAGTAGTAGTCAAATGAAGAGTTTATTTGACTTGCCTAATTCTTATGTGATTCGATAGTGCTTTATGAAACTACATTGAAAATGTATGAAAATTTATCAAATTTTTGTTGCAGCTTTGTTAACATTTACTGACAGTGATGATAGATACACTAATAACACTTGGTAAACTGATTCTGGTAACAATTATTGATGCAATTAAAGCCTTATTCCCAACTGGTTATTTGCCTCGAAAATCTGTTGAAGACCAAATTGTACTGATCACTGGAGCAGGTTCTGGAATCGGCAGGATAATGGCTGTTGAAGTAAGTTTTGTCTTGAAATTTTCTTGTTTCCCCTTCATTTTTAGTTTTGCAAATTTTATTTGTCTGTATAATTGTCTGTGTTGAATAGTCCTGATTTTAGGTTAAAAAATTTTTATTTTATAACGAGACCTATCAAACTTTTTGCGCACTATTAGTTTTGATACGAATTTCAACAATCAAATGAGGTATAAGGTTACTCTGCTGAAACAATTGAATATACAGTTCTATTGCTCATAAAGTTGCTTATTGGTTTGAAGAGAAATCCGTATTGAGTTCTGTGTTATTTTCTAGCTGAAAAGGTACAGAAGGCAATGTTTATTAAAAACTGATAAATACAGATGTACATAGGTTTTAGTTTCATTATCATTTAGCAAAAAATTTTGGTTTTTTAATCACAAATTTGTCAATAAATTGCTGCATTTAGTAATATGAGATTTGGATCAGAACTTTCTTGTCTTTTTTGACGTATATCAAACGTTTTTTCTTAAGATTATGCTACAATATTTTGGTGTTTCAAGTTTTTGTAGAGCATTCAACCAAGTTGTCTAGCAGAAATCTGATAAGTTTTAAAGGTTAGAAAGAACGAAAAAGAAATTTTGAAAGAAAAAAAAATTAGTTTAATAAAAAAACAAGAAAATGCTTTTGGAGGAGCTTCAAAAATCGTAACCGAATCAGTCTTGCTTTCTCTCATAAAGAATAGTCACTTAATTAGACCCATTTTTTGCCAACACCTGAACTTTTGTAATGGTTTAAATTTTCTAAAGTGATTCTATGCTCGAAGGCTGATTATGTACAGAGTCCCTCCTGATTCAAACTTATAAACATTTAAAAATAAGCAAAAGAACCTCAAAACTTAAACAGCTTATTATGGCATTCAATTGGGTGGTAAAAAAGACATTCAAAATTTATCTTTATTCATTCTGGTTGTTATAATATAATTCAGTAAATTAGACGTATAGTAAAAAGTTATCTCTTAAATGTCTAATAAGTATAAGTATAATACAGCAGTCGGTTAAAAAAGTCTGTAATTGTAATAGCAATAAGTACGTATAGTAAATTTACAACATCTTTTTCGGTTTGCATTTTTTTTTGCTACTTTTTGTTTTGTCTTTAGAATTTCTTACAAATTACCCGTTTTTTGGAGTAACGTCATTATTCCTGTTATCATTTGTACTAATCAGTACACTGTTTATGGTTGAGTTGTTGTTGTAAGAAAAAAACTTTAAATTGGGTTATTTGATTTAAAAGATTTTGATTTGTAAAACTGTTCTTTTGTATATTGAAATTGACAACTTTTGAAAATATTGCAATGTATCGCTGGACTGCGGCAATAGGGAGGAAAAACCACGTTTAGTTTTTTATGACCACCACTACTCTGAATTTTTTTGCAGTTCGCAAAGTTAAAGGCTCAGCTTGTATTGTGGGATATCAACAAGGAAGCAAATGAAAAAACAAAGGAACTCATTGAGAGTATTGGTGTAAACGTTAGTACTTTTTTTTCTACTTTTATATAGTGTCCTACATGGAAGTCAATGGTTAGCCTATGAAACAGCGAAAGATTTAAAGTTGAGACAGTAGCTGTTAGCGGTTGAGCAAGATTGAAGTAGTGAGATGACTGATACACAATTTGTCATCTGATTAGTTGTGTACCTTACAAGTCGTTAAGAGCGAAAATTTCTGACTGCGGTCGGTATAGCAGTTAAGCACTCGGTCGGAACAAAATTTTATGCAGACTGACTAACTGAGTAACAGGTGATTGCCTCTTTTTTAATTTCCGTAATCTTCAGACTTTTTTCATAGCACTACACAGAAAAAAAGACAGAATTAAATAGAAGCATAGTTTGCTTAACAGACAAGAATCAAAACTCTTTGCGAATAGTTATTTGATCTTTATTAAGAGAAAAAAAGCTGCTATTTCCTTAATTCTGTACTGATCCGACAAGTGATTTAAGGGTTTTCAAAGAAGTAAACTGCTCTCTGTTTTTTTAAATGTTTTGATTCCTTAGCCGAGGCAATTAAGTGAGATAATAATGACTTGACTTGTCTTGCTCAAGTAACTATTAGACTGGAATCTTATGTGTAAGATAGCCTTGACTGCCACCAAATTAATTGAAATTTACTTCTAAGAATGAGCAATGCATATTTTTCTATTTGCTGTGATATTCAATGATTAAACTAATCTCTTAGCTTTTTTATATTCAGTTTTTTTCTTATGGTTATTTCTATCATTAGGTGCACGCATATACCGTCAACTTAGCAAAGCGTGATGAAATTTACGCTGCTGCTGAAAAGGTTAAAAGTGAAGTGGGTAATGTGGATATTTTGGTCAACAATGCTGGAATTGTTACTGGCAAAAAACTATTCGATTGTCCTGATGAAATGATGGAATTAACAATGGTCGTTAACTGCACTTCACACTTTTTCGTAAGTTCCTTCCTTCTATTCGCCAGCATTTTGATTGTCAAATTTTTTTCTTCATTACGTACAGTCTACTTAAGGAAATTTGTTCAGACCACCAAAGCATTCTTGCCACATATGGTTGAGACCGACCATGGACATATTGTCACCATTGCTTCAATGGCCGGTATCATCGGCACAGCTGGTATGGTGGATTACTGTGCCAGTAAATTCGGAGCGGTTGGATTCTCTCTGTCGTTAGCTTCAGAAATGCTTTTGATGAGAAAAAATGGAGTTCATGTAACTACTGTATGTCCGTTCTTTATTAGTACCGGAATGTTCCATGGAGCTGCAACAAAGTTAGTTGGGGTTTATTTTTTCATTTTGCTTGCACAGTCAAATATAGTAGAAGTTAATTGGTTATATTTTCAAAGGAAAATAAAGTTATTATCAGTCATTTAGATATAATCATTTGTAATTTAGCATCAAAATATCCACTGTTACAAATAAAAGTGAAAATTAAAAAAAAAGATTTTTTAAGAGTTTTTTGCTAAGGATTTTTTAGCTTTATTAAAGCTAAATTTGTCTCAGCTTATTTTTGTCGCTTACTATCTGGTTCACTCTTCTCATCAAAAGTAACGCTAAGCCTCGATTACAATATGAATGAAACCTTACAAACTGCATTTTTTGGTTAAACTAACTATAATCATTTAGATCCAACAGACGATCAAGTTTTTTAGGTCGCCAAATTTGCTACCAATAATGTCACCAGAATATGTTGTTGAGCAGGTTTTGGAAGCTGTTTTAACGGATAAAGAGCTTATACTTATGCCCAGATTTTGTTATTTTGCTGTATTCCTTGCCAGGTTAGTTTACAGAGTAGAACTGATCCAATTTTTCCTACTAAAGAGCAAATTTTTCTGTTTAAAAGCAGAACTGCTGTTAACTGCATTATCCGTTGGTATACTTTTTGCTTTACAATATCGCCTTTCTTTTATAGCTCAATCTTCACTGCTTGAGCTGTACAAAGGGTTGGGAGTAAGAAACGGCAGGAAGTGACAGCAATGTGCTTTTTGCTTCAGCAATTAGTTTTCCAAATCATAAATAGCTGAAGTTCAAGCGTGTTTACACTACTTACACTTTTCCTATAGTATTTCTTGAACATCCAAAGAAAGTCAGAGAAATTAAAGTTTGTTTAGCGCAGGGATGATAAAATAATTAGTATTTTATAAGACGTGCATAGTTCCTGCAGTGAACACTTAAGGAATGGCCCGGTAGTCGAACTAAGTTCTTTCTAAATTTATCAGTAAGTTCTACTGGCATAATTTTTTCGAATTATCTCTTTTTGTGGTTTAAAGACATAAATTTGCTGAGTTAACGGACAGTGACTCGAATTGTAATATTACAAAGCGCAATGATGTTTAGTGTACAGCAGTTGTCATATGCCACATTGAAGCTGCGAATATTTTACTGTCTTTTTAAATTCATCAGTTAACTGCTACTGATTTTCAGCTTTTTACCAACACGTGCAGCCCACATATTGGCTGAATATTTTGGAACAATGACTAGCATGGAAAATTTTGTTGGTCGAGACAAGAGAAATGATTAATGGATCTGTTTTGACAAAGTTGTATTCACAAGTTGTTAGTGAGCTTACGCTTGAAATATATGAATTAGAAAAGGTAACTGAAGACAGCACTAATATTATGTTTTCGTTGTTACCCCCACAGCATTGGTTTTTTTTTGAAAAAGAAAACCTTGTCTTTGTCTTGTAGGTGATCTTCAGTTAATTTGCTCTGTAATTTATTGCTTTTATACTATAGCTCAATTTGATTTTACACCCTTTATGTTAGCATATGCTGCTCGTTTTTTTTCGGTTTTTTTGCTTTTATATTCCTCTTATCATCCTCTGTTGTTCTACTTATTTATATGAGAATTCTTAACTTTACATATAAATCTTTTATTTACTCATATATAGGTATTTAGAGATACAGTGAGGGAAGTGTGTAAAATTTTGCATTCAACCTTGCGTCTCCTCTGTCAAAATCACAGAGAAAACATTAAGAAACTTTTGGCTGACTACTTAGGAAATGACGAAGGTTAACACACCATCTCCAATTGCAGGCGACAGCCGAACGTCTTCATCAGATTAAAGTTACGACTCGCTAATCGCTGGGAACTGTTTAAAGCAATTGATACCTTAATTAGTAAAAAAATCAAAGAAAGTTGTACAAAAAACCTCATTCTCCAGTTCTGGAAAGAAACTTTTAAAGAGGTTGACTTAAAAAGGTATTGAAATTAGCAGATTTCCATCTAACATATAGCAATAGCTAAGTGACTATCAAATGCAGAAGCGACTTTATGTTATACAGTTCTGTTGTTGCTTGTTGCAATAGGCCTGGTTAAGTCAGCAGATGCCTTGTGGCGTACTGGCGTACTACATGTTGCAACAGAAAATCAATAAGCGGAGTATAGATTCAGAAAAAAATGACTAAGAGTTTTAGACGCAAATCGTTGAACGTGAAGCCCTTGCAAATGAAGAAACATTAGGGTAAACAGACGATATTGTTTCCAAGATTCGTCGCGGTCTTGAATAAGAAGTAAGACAACAACACTTTAGGTGAGATAAATGAGACCGACTAGCCAAGATGAAAGGAGTCAAAGTAAAGCCTCAGCCACGTAGGCACAGCGTAGAGCTCAAAATAGCATTCAAAGTAAAAAATGCTCGCTGTGGAGTGTGTGGCACTTCATATACTCTCTAGTTTGTCTAGCCAAAGGATCTGGAGCCTAAACTCGATTGCTACTCAAAAACTTTCCAGTAACACCTCTCTAAACCTTCAGTCATACTGACCTTAGGAAGTTTGGAAATTAGTTTATATTGAAGTAGTAAAGAAGATGCTCAACGAATTACACTGTTAAAGCATTGGAATATGATGTTTTTGGTGCAAAGCAAGTGGCAGAATTTCGGCAGGAATTTTTAGCAGTTTTTTGTTCAGAGTCATTTGATGAAATCAGAGCAGTTACGCCTCTGAGTACCTGGTTGTCCATACTTTACATATCCCATGCACTTCTATTCATTGTTTGAAAATTCTGTGTTTCTCCGAAGTTCTCAAAATCATAATTTTAGTGTAAAGGACTCAGCGGTTTTTTTACGTCTGGAAGAAGTTACTTGAAGTTGTCGTTTCATTTGCTTGATTTTTGATTTTCTGGTAAAAGATGGGTAGAAGGTACGCCGAAGTTCATAAAACCTCTCTGAATGAATGGAGTGGAACTGAAGGGTCCGCAGCCGAAAAGCAATTAGAAATAAAAGAAAAAGGATTTTAAGATGAGAGCCACAGTAGTTTCCTAAACTGTTGTGATAAAATAGCGGAAAAGAAATGACATACAGTATCGGTAATGTATAAGCAATTTTTTAAAGAAATAACTTTTTAGATTGCAATGACTATTAGCTCAGGTCGTTCTAAAAATTGAGTGTTGCAGCGTTCTGAAAGAAATGTTTTTGCCTTTTCAAACAATGCAACCCAATATTACAGAGTGTTTCCCGACGGATTTCAAAAGACTTAGTATGGAACAAAAAGTGTGAAAAAAAATTTAAAACGTGCGTTAATAACGTCCGAAACTGTTCTATCGCTCGGTTCAAAGTCCTTAATGGGACATTTCAATAATTTTTCACTTTTTTGACTGAAAACGTATAATAGCTACTCGAAAACTGGGAGTAGTAAATTTACGAGAAATTGGTGGTGGGATGAAAATAATAACTGATTTTGTGAGTTTTTGTGATCTGTGGAGAAGAACTGGAGCTCAACATAATACCTACTGATTGTTGTACACATTGGGCATAATGGGTAACATTCCAGTAACGGTTTTGACCACCTCTGCCCACTACGGTTCGCTCCTGTCAAACTGCTCTTTTCGAAACTCAGTCAATTCTTTTTTAAAACCATCTGTGTTGTACGGGATCCCGTTCCGTGTGGTTAAGACTTAGCAAAGGTCCCCCTTAATGCTTCTAACTTCAAACCCGAACGTTTTACGACGCATGTCTAACCACTTAAATTTCTACGGCAGATTTTCTACAACTTTTATTTTTTCCCAACAAATGAGTTATCCTGTGTTTTTTTTTTTTTTTTTTTGCGGTAGATATGTGTTCAGGAAATCTTCGTAAAAATTTTTTTCGCCTATCCAGCGTATTTCAAGGCATTCGGGACAATGTGATTACACACTACGATAAAAGCTGCAACTTTTTTCAGCCCATGACCATATTCTAATACGTTTACTTTTTTCCGCTTCTGGACGATTATATTATGTTCATCTTCAGTTACAAGTGTAAAAAAAGTAGAAATGCTGCAGTAGAAGCAGAAACAAAGGTAACAGTTTGTAGCATATTACTTCACGTTTTAAGTTCATTTTTATACCTTTTCTATTTCCTCGTTGATCTTTTGAAAAACGGTAAGAAAATTTTATGAGACTTTGATTGACAAGAACCACGCAATAACTTATTTTCTCCTTGAGTAAATCTTAAGCACAGAAAATGCCTCTTAGAACCCACCAATACCCATTACTTTGAACCATCCAAATGGAAAAGCCATTTTTGTCTGAAATATAATCTTCACGGAAGAAAAATTTTATTTTTGTTTCAGTCACTGTGTATACGGTTTATATTAAGAAAAATCAACAGTTTTTGTAGTATTCGAAGCAAAGTTGTTAATCGCCGTAAGGTTTCAAAATGAGGAATTTTTTCTAAAGATACACTTCACGTTTGCTGAACACGTATACGGAGGCTGCACTCTTAAGATGAGAAAGACGTAAGACTGAATTTCGAGACGCTAGTGACGCAGTGAAAAAATTAGCAACAGATGGGCAATAAACTGGCAATAAATTTTCTATTTATTGCCAGTTTAGATGACCTATCCGCTGCTAATTTCCCAGCTAAGTATCCTGCTATTCAGAATGCTAGTAATTTATTTATTTCAGCAATTTATTTATACTCGGATTTTACAGTCGTTGTTGGTCAATAAGTCTTTAATTCTAATACAGCCGTAAACCTTAGCTGTCCCCAGTGAGAATCTAGTTCACCTTCCCTATAAGAGAGAACTTATAGATAAAGCAATTATTTGAATTATTTCGTTGTTAACGACCCTAATATAAAGACTGTCAACGTATTCGGTAGCGGTTGTGAACACTTATCAGATGCTATTAACTCCATTCTAACCGAATGAAGGAAAAGAACAAATACTTGGATCAAATCAGCTACGGACAGCGTAATAAAGACCAACAATTCCCAGCGGGGAGAAATATTCCTATTTGCGTCATTACTACTCGCGAAGATTCAGAAGCCTTCCATAGTTCCTAAAATGATTAAAGAACTACTTATGTAGTTAATGATTTATGATAGCCCAACAACTATATCTGTCATTTGACCGTTAAGGTGGTCGTGAATTACCAGCGCACTTTTAAATTTATTGCTTACCGGTGTGACATTTTTTTGGCAAAAGAATTCAGTTTAACTGGTTCTTTGGGCGGAATATTCATAATAAGCTAAAAAAATTGAATATTCTGCTTTTGAGGATCTGTGGCAAAGAAGAAACATAATTTACGAACATATTGCGGTCCTGTCAACTATGTAAAAAGATAAAAAACTGAACCTTCAGAATGGAAAACAAAAATTCGCAATATGAACAGTTAAGATCCATTTATAGAGACCAACTAAGGTAACAAAATTCGACATGGATCATTACAGGGTATTTTACCACAAATGTTTATCAAGCGCTATAATTCCAATGAGTATCTCCACCCTCTGCTTCATATCGGGCAGTAAATGTGGTACGTCAGATTAGCTGTTCTATTTTTACAAAATCAAGTAGACAATTCAAATCATGCTTGCTCTGAAAAAACCGATTTCCAGGTAAATAACAGCCTTAGCACAACAAATCAAGCAGCCTGATTGATAGCTGTTCTAATCTTTTACATAGTAAGTCCCTAACTACAAGTTCCTATTTACTCTGGGCTCACTGCACGTTACCGGTAGAGTGGTAAATATTATTTTGCTCATTCTTTTATTT